CTCATGCCCACCTTGAGCAACTCTCATGCCCCCTCAGGGATCTCTGCCTGAGAACCACTGATATATACTTTTGTATAGTCTCCTGTTCTACACAAATCGGAGAGCTTTTGAGAACAGAGTGATACAACAATAAAGTGTGTAAAGCATTTCCTGGCTGACCAAGTAGCAGGTGACATGAAATATTTCACCTCCTAAATTACCTTCTGTTGAGCTGCTCTTAAAGGCTCAAGAATGGGGCCATCTGTAACAACAGCAACAGATCTACACAGTGACCCTGACTGGATTGGAACATATCTTTGTTATATTTCATTTTCATTCTGATCTGCATTTTGCTCACATCCATGTAATCAGCACCCTTCCTCCAACTCATAACCTCCTGCTGGTAAATATGAGATATCTTCAAGATGTCACATTGATTCTAACAGACTATTTCATGTCCTAGAGATGGGTTGGTATACAGGAAAAGTGTTGAACTATAATGTTCTTCAAGCACTGGTGACCTATACTGAAAATCCACATGCAAGGTTGTCTGTGTGCCAACAGATAAGTGTGCAGTTGCCCCTCTGTTTTCACGGGTAGTCCATTCTGGACCCCCTGCAAAAATGGGAAATCACCAGTATTCATGCCCTATTGGCTTGAATGGTGGTGCACTCCCACAGGCACCACCTCATTTTGTCCCCTTCCATTTGCTGCCCACAAATAGGTGAGGAATGAGGACTCCAAGTCTGCAAAAATGGAGGGGTGACTGTATTGTTAAATTGCTGTGGGTGAAACTATCAGTCTGGGCTGCTTTAAAACAAGATCTAGTCACAGTGTGGGCATTGACAAAGCAATATTTATCAATGGTCCAGAATCAGTGGGGGAATGTGTCTTAATGGGAGCCTGAAATAGAGATTTATTTTTTTGGAAAGTCTGGAATGAATGGGAGTTAAAGATTGGAAGCATCTTGCAAAATAATAACATGCAAATTATAATAATTTGCATATGATGCCCTGATATGAGGGACTGGATATATGGCAACCCTATGCCAGGGTGAAAACTGGAGACGGCTCCTGTGCCTTTAACAATTCATAGACATTGCTTGTTACAAGCAATACCTGTTCAAACTCCTTCTTCTACATTTGTGTACAGGAGTTCTCTACAGTTTTCAGTCTGGCAGCCTTACATATCTGCCATTTTGTTAAACTTCAAGTCAGAGTAGGATATGACATTGCTTAGACAAATGCCATGGATTGAATTGGCCTAGAGATGTCACAGATTGAATTTGAGTCCTTCTTTGCATGCAAAGTGCTTGGTCTGTCATGGGACATGAAAGAGCAACTGTTGCTTAAAATAGTCATTACTGACCAGCCAGCTCATACTCAACATTTTTGTTAACAAAATAATTAGGTGCAACTTGTTCAATGTTTCTGAGAATTATAGCGGGATAACTGTGCTTTAGGTAATTTCCATTCTAATTGCTTATTATAATTTCTTTTAATGAGGTGAGGGAAATGTTTTGCTCCTAACAAAGCTAACCAAAGCCTTTTTGGTTGAGTGAGGCAACAATTATAGACATTCACTGTGATTATTTCTCTTGCTTGGAATGTTGTTTTAACACAGTTTAATTTTATTTCTTGCCAAAGAATATATTTCTTTTTCACAAGGGCAGCCAATGTGCAACTGAGTTGTCTGATTCAGATCAGCATGTAACTCACTTCAGTAACTATGTGATGTCCATCATGTCAGTGTGTGGTCCTCCTATATGCCATTGCTCCTTTCTTGGGGATACAAATGCACCAAGGCCTGAAAGTGGCTCCAGAAAGTTTTACCTGAGCCCAAATCTGAAAGTAAGGTCAGGGTCACTGCCAACTATATGATGGGCTCAGGGCTGAGTCTAGCTAAAGGCAAGATACAGGAATGCAGTGCAGGCTAGGGTAAAGTTGAAACTGGCCAGAGGCTGAAATTCAGATTGTAAACAAGAAAACAAAGATTTGGGAACAATCTAGAATATATCAGAGACAGAGATGGGAACTGATCCTCAAGAGATGAGAGCTTTCAAAGGTACTTCTGAATCATGACTCCCAAATCAACACAGTATTGGTGGCTGCAGGACTCTGGAAGTTGTTGTCCAGAAAGGTTACTTTTCCAAGCTCTGGGAAAGATGCTAGACATCTGAGCAGAGAGAATCCAACTTAAAAGAAAAACAAAACAAAAACCAGAGGGGAGGTATTGCTATGTTGACCCGAGCAAAGATAAAAAGGCAATCATGAATGGCCAATATGTGAAAAGGATTCCCTAGATTGAGGAATATATGGCCCTCCACATGGTTATTGTGCTGTTAATCAGCATCAAGTCAGCTTTCACTATGAACAAGAGACCTCCAAGACATCATGTAATCAACAGTCCTGCTCAGCGTCTGCAAATGCAGGGCAGTAGATTCCCTGAGTGAGTGTATCTACATATACCCCCACATGTTGGAATGCAATTTGCACAAGCTACCATCAGCTTAGCAGGCTAGGACTAAGGCTGATGGTGTTCTAGTCCAACAACATCTGGAGGACCCCCACAATTATCCAGTTTTGCTCTCCACAATAGCAATAGCAGCTTCATTTATATACTGCTTCATACCACATTGAGCAGTCTCTAAGCATTTACAAGTGTAAACTAATTGCCCCCATGAAGCTAGGTACTCATTTTAGCAACTTCAGAAGGATGCAAGGCTGAGTCAATCCTGAGCCCCTGGCTGGGACTGAAGTCACAGTCTTGTGGTTTGTCATTGAGTGGCTACAGTAGTGGCACTGTGCCACCAGGGCTCCCCCAAAGAAGGCCTACTAAGCAAATGTTTGTTGCGTGCCTTCAAGTTGGCTCCAGCTTATGGTGACCCTAATGCAAACCTATCCTAGGACTTTCTTGGTAATATTTATGCAGAGTGCATTTGCCATTGCTTTCCTCTGAAGCTGAGAGTGTGTGATTTGCCCAAGGTCATTCAGTGGGTTTCCATGACTAAGGGGGATCCAAACCCTGGTCTTCCAGAGTCCTAGTCCACTGCTCAAACCACAATACCACACTGGTTCTTGTTTGCTCTATTGAGAAAATAGAGCCCTGAATAGCTTGGATCCAATTCTTTTCTAATGAGAGTCCTTCCTGTTGCTCTTGCCATGAAGCCTTTCTTTTGCTTGCCTGTTCTGTTGGCAAATAGCAACTGGAAACTCTGATGCAGCCCAAACTGCAACAGTAGCAGTGTGTCCTGTTGGACATAAGCATCTGGGGTATGGGTTGATATATACACATAAATGCAGCGTCTAATTAAGTATTGGTTTGTCCTTGGCCTGTCTGGCACGATTTTGAATAAGCAGGTCAAACCTGCCAAATGTCCAACTCATTTGCCTGCCACCCACTTTGAAATCTGGTCTCCAGACTTCATTCTGATTGCTTTCACTTCTTGCTGAATTTTCCTAAACAGTGTTGCTGGCAAACCAGTACATATCAGCTGTTCATGTGCCAGCTTTGCAAGGTCCCAGCAGTGGCGGGATACATGTGGTGGTCAAGCAATGGAGTTTGCCATTGTGTTACCAGAAGCAGCCATCAAAATGCTAGGAATGAGTGAATGTTTGGCAGACGATGCAACCAGATTAGGCAACTCATAGGAACTATATAGATCAAGAAGTGACTGACTAAGGTATATCAGTAGGTATACCATGATAAGATGTTCATAAGAAACAAAATAATCACTTTTCTGTATTAGGCCCAAGGCTAGTCCATCTAGGGGGGAAGCAGACGGCCAGCATGGGGCCGTCCTGGGAAGTTGCAGATCGGGGCCGGGGCATCCTCATTCCTCGGCCCCATGGTGCAGCATCTCTGCTCCAGGAGGAAGCACTAAAATAGGTGCACCACAAAAGGCATCTGGCGCACCTTCGGCGCCTCTTCCGCTGCAGCGTGTGCAGACGCTGCAGCGGAAGTGTGTCATCGGAGCGCCGTCCGTGCGGAGGGCCGGCCGCTCCGACGACATTTTGGGGAAGGGGTTGGGGCACCCAGCATGAGGCTACCCCTCCCTTTCCTGGCCTCAAAGACGGTGCTTTGCGCTGTTTGCTTAGGCCCCTAGTCTAGCATTGAACACAATGGCAACCAGTCAGTTGCTGATCCTGAAGAAATTTCTGTTTGGAAGAAAACTCCTAAACCCAGCCAGTATGGCTAATTCAAAAAAGGAAGCTTTTTAAGATCTTTGAACTCCATTTGGTTTCCATGGTTAATATGTATTGATAAATACAATTTTTGTTGGTTTGTTGGTTGGTTGGTTGCTCTATCCTATTTCATTGCATCTGGATCTAGGGCATGTAGAATATTACATCTACAATGCTCAAATGTCTTCTGTCCAGAATTCCTGCAATATCTGTGGCCTTCTTAGCAAACCAGAAGCCCTCCTCTCAATCTACAACCTAACAAGTGTTTTCTATAAAGATAAATAAATTGGTTCAAGAGCAAATCAAACCTGAACTCCCCCTAGAGAGTTACCCAAGCCAAGATAACCTGAGGATGTTGTACTTTGGACATATTATGAAAAGACATGACCCATTAGAAAAGATGATACTACTTGGTAGGGTAGAAAGCAGTAGGGAAAGAGGAAGACCACGTTCCAGATGGATGGATTCAATCAAGGAAGCCACAGCCCTGAGTTTGCAGGTCTATGGATAACTGAGTGACTTGGAGGTCTCTCATTCATAGAGGTTGACTTAAGCAGAAGTTGACTTGACAGTAATTAACAACAACAAAGAATTTGACAAAAGATTTGTGATCATTAAACAGAAGCTCCAAAGGGAGAGGCAGAATGCCACTGAATGCTAGCCACAGGGGACAAACAACTGGGAATGACCAACATGTTCATGGCACTGGTTTTGAGCTTTAGAATTTCCAGAAGTATTCTTGGTTGAGCTCTATTGGAAGTCTAGTCCAATGCACTATGATTTCCATTGGCATATTTCTCATCCTCAGTTTGCCAAAGCTGTATGCTCCCTTTGAGAGCCAGTGTGGTGTAGTGGTTTTAGTGTTTGACTATAACTCTTGAGACAAGGGTTCAGTTCCCTGCATGGCCATATAAAGAGTCATAGGGCAAGCCACACTTTTCCAGCCTCAGAGGAAGGCAAAGACAAACCTGCTGTTAATAAATATTACTAAGACACCCCCATGATACATTTATCTTAGGGTTGCCATAAGTTAGGAACAACTTGAAGGCACACACCCACACCCCACACAACAATAACAACTACCTCACCCTTTCCATTCAGTGAATTTAGTACTGTTATGTATTGGAGTGAATAAGGAAGAAACCCTCAAGGTTTGTCATCCCAAATACCTGTAAGAACATTCCATCAAATACACTCACTTCATTTATTTGAACATGTGATGGTGCAATCATTAAATAAATTATCTGCCTGTGTTTATTTCACTCTCTCTTGTGTATTCTGCTTTTGAACATGTTGCTCCAACACACTTTATTTTCCCCGAGAAGAGACCAAAAAGAAATTAAATGCAACCCCACTCGCCAGCACCCAATGTTATTGTAATGCTATAGTAGAGATCTAAAATATACAGAAAGTCAGAATATTTCTTAAAATTATGACTCTCATGGGGCCCGTAGCTCAACCCTACAGTACATATGTTGTATATTAAGGTAGTGGCTCACAATTTGTTTTTGTTGGAATGTCCTTTGGGATAGATAGCAGGTGGGCCTCCCACTTTCCTCCCATCTGGAGCTATCTTCTGGAGTGAGTAAAGGCAAGCTGGAATGCTGTGGGAGCAAAGAACAGAAACCCATAAGCAAGGAGGCATGTGTGACAGCAACTCTTTCTTTTCTCCCACCTGTGAAGCCAAATTTAAATTCCACTAAATATCCCACACAGTGCATTGTGAGAAACAGGATGCTGATCAGGATAAAGTTTTGGTCTTATTCAGCAGTACTCCTTATGTTCTGATATCTGCTCCAATTAAAGCACAAATCCTCTGTTAATCCTCTGCTGTCCCACTTTCTCAGCTGGTTTTAAAATGTTTTATTCTCTCTTCAGTTTTCCTCCTTTGTCCTCTGCTCACATGAAGCAGTATAGAAATGTAAATGCTATTGCTATATTCTTACTCATTAATAACTTTTGCCCTCTTGTTGCCTAACTATAGCCTTTTGACCACATTCTGATGTTCCTTAGCCACATGTGTTCTGGTTTTCTTTTGCAAAATGTTGGAGGATATGTTAGCAGTGAATTTTCAGAACCTCAGGAACTGAGATTCTCAAGTCATATGCTTATTACATACAATGATCATCCACACTGTGAGAAACATCCAAACCAGCTCATGACTCTGTTCTGTTCTTGAATCCAGATTACTCTTCTGCATGTGCTTTTATCAGTTTGGTTCCTCAGCTTTCGACTAATACTCTGGTTCTTGACCTCTGAACTGTGAATCAGCCATGAGGCTTCTCAGTTCTCCAAATGAATTATGACATCAACATTACTACAAATCTTTAAAGAAAACCAAACCAAACCAACAATAATCACATTCTGCATAATATCAGAGAAACATTTTTTATGATCTACTCATATCTTACTGATGGCTAGAGTTGTTGCTAAATTTCAGTCAAATTGAAAGTTGAAGGCTTATTTAATGAATTCTGAGGAGTGCCAAGAGTTTTGATAAGATGGATAAAAATTTTCAGAAAGTTTTGCACATTCTTTAGTTCTGTTGTTCTCTGACTCTGGTTCCCCAGATGTTTTGAATTTCAGTTTCTAGAAGTCCCAGACAGTACGGTCACTACTCAGGAATTCTGGGAACTAGTTTCATAACCAAATTTTGAGTTCCACAGCCTTAGTTCACACCTCCTAAATAGAAATCTAAAGTAATTGGAGTGTGTGGTCTTCTTCAATACAAACACTTGAAGAATTTCAAGAGAAACTAGGGGCTTGTCTGCACTATTAAAAGCTAATCTATATTATTAAAAATAGGAGTTTGTCTATACTATTAAAAAGCCCCTCACTCTCTTTAAATTGGCAGTGATTTGGACATTCTGACCAATTCTGATGTTCTGACCAATTTGTGGCAGGTGCAGGGTTTTGAGGCACCTGAGGGCTCTAATCTTGATTTTCTCTAGAATTTGTAGGAAAATTTGGATGGGGATGTGTGAATGGTGGGTTTGCATTGGTAGTGGGGGGAGGAACTTGTGGTGAGTGGCGCAGGACAGATTGCAAGGGTCACATGATCATTCCCATCCAGAAGTTACAATTTTCAAGAGACTCTGGGAGGTTTGAGTGGCCTGATCACAATTTTTTAAAAGTTGCTATATTTGTGCACATAACTGGATACAGTATATTTGCTTGGATGGTATTTATAGTTGTAGCTGCACACCTCTGATTAACTTGCTTGTAACAAGGCTAAGACTGCCATGCAAACACTGCATCATCATTAGTCTGCTAGGAGATTATCGCATTAGCTTTGCTGCAGGGATAGACTCGGGATGTAACTTTCTTAAGGTGAATCTTATTGCATTCACCCATTGCCAGGCAGTATGCAGCCCAGGCTTCTCTGGGCTTGTCCCACATCTTTTCAAGAAAGGGAAAATCCTGTTCTTGGATATCTGTGAGAGCAGCCCAGGTTCCATATGGGCTGCATACTGCCCAGTGATGGCTGAATGTGATAAGATCTGCCTTAAGAGAGTTACATCCTGGGTCTATCCCGGCAGTGAAGCTAATGCGATAATTTCCCTAGTCAGTGACTGAATGACCAGGCAAGGCAATGGTGAATGGCACTCGTGCACGGGCTGATATATTGAAAGGTTCCTACCTATACTAGCCAATGAGAATGTATGGAAAATATCATGTTGACAAATGTTCCTGTTTGCACCAGGGCAATGAAAGTGAAAATGTGTATGTGAAAGTGAAAATGTGTATAGATGGGGGGGGAATAAACAAAGCAACACAGCACAGATGTGGGGCTGAAAATGATTTGGGGAAGCTGGCTTGTGAGCCATCATTTTGCAATGATGCAACCTTGTAATGGGAGAATATGTGGCTTCTCAAGTCAAGTTTGCTGCAATTTACCTCAATGTCTGCAGTAACAGTGTAGACAAGCCTAGTGTCACTGTGAATATGGGAAAAGGGGAACCTACCTGGATTTTTATGGTAAGTGTAGACAAGCCTAGAAGTGTTTCAGTAAGGCCAGTGAAAGAAATATTGCTTTAAGGCTGCATCCACACTGCAGAAATAATCCACTTTGACACCACTCAGTGCTATGGAATTCTGGAAACTGTAATGGCACCAAAGTTTTTTAACAGAGAAGACTAAGGGCCTTTACAGACTGCCAGAAATAATGCAGCTTGAGGCCACTTGAACTGTCCTGGCTCAGTTCTAGGGAATCATGGGCATTTTTTTCTGAGACATTGAGCCTTCTCTGGTGTCACAATAAACTACAGTTTGCACGATTCCCTAGCACTGAGCCAGGGCAGTTAAAGTGGCCTCAAGATGGATTATTTCTGGCAGTCTGTAAAGGCCCTAAGGGGAATTGCAGACCGGCCTGGGGATGGAGTTGGGGTGGGGTAGCCGCACGCCAGCCACCCCAACCCCACCCCTATGCCGTCCTGATGCCACACTCCCTTTTGCATGGCACGCGGTGTCAGGACACCCTCCCAGCGCAGCATGTAGACAAGCTGTGCCAAAAGGGTGCAGAAGAGCTGCGGTGCTGGGTGCAGAAGAGGGTGCAGAAGAGCTGCGGTGCACCATGGCAGTTAAAGTGGTGTCAAACTGGATTATTTCTACAGTGAAGATGCAGTCTAAGACTACTTCACTCATCTCTACATACAGTACGCATGTCTCTATATCTGGAATGAGCAGTGTGGTGAAGAGGTCTGAGTGTTGGACCAGGACTCCAGGAGACCAGGATCTAAATCCCAACTCAGCCATGGAAACCTACTGGGGCAATGTCACATTTTCTCAATCTAGAGGAAGGCAGTGGCAAATCTCCTTTGAATAAATCTTCCTAAAGAAAACCTACAGCAGGATTCAGCTTGATGGCACCCACCAACAACAATATTTAGAAAATATGGTACCCTATTTCATACATTTGGAAGGGTCTGTGTGTTCAGTTGATATGGGAATAGAAGGAACAGCATTGTAGCAGGAAGCACCATTCCTCACTTGACAAGTGTTCTGATGTACATCTGCCTTCCTGCCATCAAAAGGGGACAACTGTATTAAGAGAAAAATGGCAGAGCAAAACTGAATCAGTCAATCTTAAAGAAAAAGTACTAAGTGACACTAGTAAACACCATATTAGCTATTAGTGCCAAGATTCAGATTATTGGATGTCTTCCAAGGACTGCGGGTTCATTTATTTATTTTTGTAATGAAATACTGTATGAGAAATATGCAGAAGATTGTAAAATGAGCCTATAGCTCAGACATTGTTTATAATTATGTGCACATAAGATATTCAGGAACTATTGCCATGGGAGGGGGAGAGAGAGATCTTACAAATGCTTTCTTTCCAGTGCTTAAATAATTCTTAGCTGTTAAAGTGGTACAATTTATTATTAAGAAAACCATAAACCATTTGTTAACTGTTTGAGGACTGCAGACTTAAAACAAATCCTCCAAGATCACTTGGAAGGCTTCATTAGACAGAAGAGCAGTTTAATTAAATACTGCTTTCTCTTTGCTTGTTATTATGTTAATAATAATACATGAAAACCTCTCAGTGCTGTTGATGGCACAAACATTATTATTTTTTTCCTGTTAAGAAGCATTGAATTTCCCATGTGGGCAAATGGTCCAGAATCTCATAAAATCTGGATGTTGGTGGCCAAATTCAGTTTATTCCCTATCCAAGATTCTTTACTCACTAGGGATGTATCTGCATTGCAGAAATAGTCTAAGGAGTTTATCACATGGAGTTTATCCCATGCAGAAAAGGGATTTAAAATGGGAAAATCCTGCAAAAGCGGAATAATTTTCATACAACGTCGGACATTAATGATCACAGAAAGTGGACAAATCCTGCAAAAGTGGGATTGTTTTCACATGATGTCAGGGCCATTAAGCGTTAATGTGAAAATAAC